TCCATAATTACTATCTTATCGCTTATATTATTTATTATATTAAAAATAGAAACAAGTTACTTGAAATTAATATGTATAATAATAAGTATTATTTATTTGCTTAAAATAAATTGTCGTCGTTGTATAGCTAATTTTCATATAAACTCCATGATATCACAAAAAATATTAAAAAACAAGATCATCTACATCATACTGGTGAGCACGATAAGAAATAAAATCTGGTAAAAAATAAATTTTTTAAAGGATTTTAAAATATAATATAAAATAAAAAATGAGAATTTAATAACGAGTGCTTGCCAACAAAGGATACATGATGAAGCTGAAATTGCACACTTGTTATAGGGGTTGTAATTAATCATTTCAAACTACAAATCTAAGCTCCATGCATATAGGCTAATTTATTAAATGATGAAAATTTAAAAGAAGAAATTAATATTAAAAGAGTTGAAAGTGAAAGTTCAGACGATTATGATGAAATTTTACCAGAATATTCAAAGGCGAAATGGAAATTAGAAAATTTGTTTGTTTCTAATTTAGATATTTCATTTAAAGAATAATATCATATTAATAAGATTTTTTTGATAAATTGAAATAAATAAAATTAGTGTTTTTTTAATAAATTTTAATTTTTTTTATTAATTGTATATTTATAAGTTTAAGTAAATATAATGGATAACAATGGATACTGATATTATATGTCCATTGCTTAATCAATGAACAATAGACAGCATTATTTATTTAGTGTTGTCCATTATCTATTGTCTAGTCATTCTATATATTTTGATTGATTTTGGTAATACACCTCGTGAACATCGAATTTGAAGTTTATATAACTGTTTTATAAGCTACTGCTACAGCTGCAGTTGCAGCTATAGCTATACTACTATGTTATTATTAGAATAAATTTGAGATTTAAGCTTTCCTGTGGAACTTTTATATTATGTTAAATTTAACCATCATATTTTAAATAAAATATTTTTTATTGATTTTGCTAATTTTTGTCAATCTGTTAAAAAATATCTTTAGCATAAAAAATTATTATTTGCATTACATTTTTTTGCATTACATATTCAGTTTAATCTTTTTATTTTTTTGTATTACAAAATTTTTGTATATTTGTAAATACTATAATTGATCTAATCTTTTTTTAAAAAAAAATTTTTCTTTATTTTTTTTTAAAAAAAAAAACACAAATATCAAAATAAAATCAAATATAATATGCCTATTTAATTATCAATAATTTTATATATTTCAAATTACAGAAAAAATTTTTTAGTATTTTTGTAAAAAAAATTCTCTTACTTTTTTTTATTCAGTGAAATATAGAAACTTTGGTCAAATAAAATATATAAAAGTACCTTAAGTAAAGTTATCCTGAATCTCAATTTTTATCAAAGTGGATTTGATATTTGTGGAGTTTGTGATATTAATAATATTATGATGATTATATGTTAATTTGTTTATTTTTGATCTTTTATGCATTGTAATGCAGTAAATTAAAGTCTCAGGCTAATTTTTATTTTTTTTCGTTCTATTAGTATCTTTCATGATTCATGTATAATTATCTAAAATTATATGAAAGAATAAAAGGTCTAGACTTACTCGTACAGAAATACTCTAAATTCACTCACAAATAAAATGCGATAAATCACTCTCTTTTTATTTATAATTATAAATTTTTCATAGCGGCAGAATTATCATAGGTTGCATTTTTAGTTTTTTATTCTTTTTTACTTTTCATACTTATATATATTTTATTTACTTCTCAGTTAAAACATTTTAATAATTCTTAATTTGCTAATAAGGCAGAAATGTCAAGTTTTAATTTCAGACAAATCCAATGAATTATCAATAGTCATTTTTTAAATATGACATAGGTACTGACTGTATATGATTCAAACTTGGTTTTGTTTATTTTGATTTTGAAAAGTTTGAATACTATTTATTTAATTTATTATAATATACATTTCGATTTTAGCACTTTTCGGAATTTAAAAAAAAAATTCAATATTAAAAGTTCAATTCATCATTTTTTTAAATTAATTAATGGGTTGTGTATTATGATAGATTAAAAAATAAATGATTATAAAAAAATTCAATTCAATTATTAAAATTAATAATATCTTTTGAAAAAATATATTTGTAATTTGTAACAACCTTTTTTATTTTTCTTAATAATAAATTATTTAAATATTTTATAAAAAAGATTTTTATATGTAAAATTTAATTTGAAAAACTTTTACTTAATATACTAAATATAGTTTCAGACAAAATTTTCAGTTAGAAATGCAAAAATATAAATCTTGATCTACCTCCTTTGACCATCAAATCATGCAAGTTTATGCATTCCTTTATATTAATCTTGATCTAAACACATTAAAGGTTCAGCGAAACCTGATAATTACTTCTAATCTGAATCTGAAATCTAAGCGATATTAGTTACGCCTCAACAAAAAAATTTCTGAAATATCTGATTGAGTCTGATACTGTCCAAATCTGAAATTCAATCTGAATTAATTGAAATTCTCTGAAACTTAATTATTCATGTGAAAATCAAATATATAACATTATTGATAAGACAAACATTAATGCATTTGCATCTTATAAAATGGAGGCTAATTCAAGTACTTTAACTGATAATACTTCATTGCCTAAATGAAAAGTTAGTGGAAAACCTAAATCAATAGTTTGGGGAACATATATTTAACAAGGAAAGCAAATTTCAAAAGGTCATTAGAACGCGACATATAATTTTTGTGGAGCCTTTTGGTATAAAGATTCACCAGCAACTCTTGAAGACCACTTAAAAAATTTGTATGTAAAAGTTCCGGCAGAGATTCAGGACTTTTTTTTAAAACATTTAGCAATAAAAGCAGGTGAAACTAATGAGCCTTTTTCAAAAAAATGAAAACTTGATTACCAACCATTTCAGCTAACTCAAATAAAACTTTCTGATTATATTGAAAGTACTAAACTTACACTTGAATGTAATAAAAAGATAACCCGCGCATTATTAAAAGCATTTATTATTTATGAAATTCCTTTTCACATTATTGAAAATTCATTCTTTATTGAACTGTTAAAAACTTTACGTTTGGCATATAAACCTCCATCAAAAAATATTCTTTTTAGACGATATTTAGTGCAAGAAACAGCTTTTATTAATCAAGAAATAATTAAACAATTAAAAAATTCTGAGAATTTAACGTTAGGTAAGTTTTTTTTTTATTTTTTTTTTTTTATATTTTTATAAAATTAAATTCTAAAAATTATAATTAATTAATTATTTAGCTTGTGATGAATGGAGTAATCCTTCTAATGAATCAATTTGGAATTTCATTTTACATATATCTAATCATCGTCAATATTTATGTAGTCTTCAAAACTTATCTAATGAAAGGCATACTAAAGAACTATTGGCAGAAGAAATAGATTTAGTTTTAGAAAAAGTTAGATCAGAAAAAATATCTGCTATTGTAACAGATGATGGTCCTAATATTCAAGCTGCGTGGCAAATTATTACTAAAAAATATCTAAACATTTTAAATATTAGATGTATAGCACATGCTATTAATCTAATTTCAAAAGATATTTGTAATACTCTATTTGCAGATAGAATGCTTAAACACTGTAATATTTTAATTACTTATTTTAAAATATTAACTTAGGCATATAAATAAAAATTTATTATTATTTAATTTTATTTAATATTTTAATAAATTCTTTTATTAATATTATTAATTTAAATTATATTATAAATGATATTCTTAAAAAACTAGCTGAAGAAAATTTAATTGAAAGTGAAGGTCTTAAACGATAGATAAAAATGTATTGGCATATAATGTATAATAATGTATTTTCTATTATAAAGCATAAAATACCATTAGAAACTATAAGTAATAAATAATTTAATTATATTTAATAATTTTGAATAATTTTAAATTTTAAATTAATTTTATTTTTATCTTATTTTATAGATTCTTAATAATTATATGAAAGTTTTAAATATTTCAATACAATCAATTTTATACATGAGAACATTTTTTGATGATTTATGTACTTTAGCATTTATATTTTATTCAGTTAAATTAGCTATATCTACTCTTAAATTACAAGATTATTCATTAACAGATTGTTTATTGGTTTAGCTTGTTTAAAAGTAGCTATAAAAAATCTTCCTAAAAATGATCATTGTACTTTTCGTTAACAATCAATTGCTATTTTTAATAAATGATTTGCTGATTTTGATGATAATGCTTATATTTTATGCTTTTTTTTATCCTATATATAAAGGTAAATAATATATTTTTTTTTATTAAAAAATTAAATATTATATAACAATTAATAATTATTATTTATTTATAGATTTAGTTTGAATAAGAGAATTTTAATAAATTCTTCTTGCAACAGATGAATATTATAAAAAAATGAATAAAACACTAAAGGAAAGAAAAGTATTAATAATTCAAATAAGAAATTATTGATGTTGCATTATACAGTAGGATATTAAAAGTTACTGGGTACTTAAAAATTAGAAAATCGATAGAAATTTTGATCTCAAATTAAACTTTTTTAATTTATTCAACTTTGGTTGAATAAGTAAAGTTATTTGTTATAATGTTTTATATATATTTTAAAGTTTTTTTTATAATGTTTAATTAGAAATAAAAATATTTATTGTATATTTAATACAGAATTTTTGAATTTTAATACAAGATTTCAGTTATAAT